GAAAGGAGACCCTTGTTTCCTGCCTTCTTTTCCACTTAGGTTAAAATGTGGGCGGTGATGTTTGTCCATATCCATTAAATGTTGACAAGCTTGGAAGCGACGTGCTAAGATGGCTGGGCCAGCAGATAGGAGGAGGCTAGAGTCCCGGCCAGTGCTGAGGGACAGCTACAACTGCAAGTGCTGTTCTAGCTACGTCTCCCATCACTGTGACAAAATACATGATAGAAGCAACTTAGGGGAGAACTTTGTTTTGTTTCAGAGTTTAAAGGCTTCACTCCATCATGATAGGGGAAGGCAGGAGCTGGTAATGAACTTGTTTATATCTCGGTGAATCAAGACGCAGAGGGTTCAAGCCAGAACGGGGGGGGGGGCAGATAAAATGCCCTGAGGCTGGCACCCAGGAACTCACCCCTCCAGCCATGCCCGGAACCCCAAAGGCACTACAACCTCCCCCCAAAGCACCACCAGATGGCGCCAGGTACCCAAATACAAGAACCGTTGTGTGTGTGTTTGGAGGAGGGGGGCCATTTCAGAAAAGATGGCATCTTGTAGCAGACTATGATAGATGCAAAAAAATGTCTGTTGGGCCTCTGGGATTTTGCAGGGTTTGACTGTGTAGTAGCAAGAATAATTAATCTGACTAATGTAAATCTATTATCTCAGCAAAAAGTGGTGTAAGAGTCTATCTCTTTAGGAAACATCACAGAAAACAAATACAGAATATATACTAATGGGATAACATAAATTTGTATTAATATTCAATGAGAGTCCTAACAGCTGGGAGAACATGAGAAGCCAAACTATAATCACATGGTTACTTAATAACATGAAGATAGCATGGTACAAAACACAGGGGAACTGTTTTATAATTGTACTGTTTGATTGCAGAAAGATTTGATTACTTAATCATGGAGCCATGTCCCCTCAACTGAGTTCAAGGGCTCCTTGAGACAGGGGACAAACAGGACACACCTCCCTAAGGCAGCAAAGATTTGGGTAATAAAAGTGAAGTACCCTGAATTACTCATTCATATTAAAACTTACACACACACACACACACACAGAACCTCTAAACAACAAACAAGCAAGGTATTAGGAATCAAGGATCCAGGAAGTACAAAGATCTATCAGTGCCATGCCTCCAGTGGGAAGACCAGCCAGAGAGCACATCTAGATGCATCTCATGTTCATGATGGGAAGGAGCCTGCCACCCCGTCTCCACTCCCACTTCCTACGCTGACTGCTTCTCCCTTAGCGTCTGTACCCTTAGCGTCTGTACCCTTAGCGTCGTTCTTAGGGCATCTGGGGAAGTGGTGGCTGAATGCAGCTGGCCCAGAGCTTACTTCTGTGGCTGTGGTGACTTCACACAGCTCTATTCTTTCTTGCTTGAAGGCGGAAGGAAGCCAATTCACAAACAGGTTCTCGGGGAGCATCTTACCAGAGTCCACGGCTGCTGAGTATATGGTGTGCATACATCACATCCCCTTACAGGTGTGCCTCACTGGAAAGCTTGGCAGTAATGGGGCTTCTTTACATTGGCTGACTTGGAGGAACAGATGCTGAAGAAATAAGATCAGCGTACAGATGCTGGCGGTCATCCTACTCCACAGTCTCACAGCTAGCTCTTCCTATATTAAGGATGGAGGTGGAAGGACCCCCATTCTCAAAGAAATGATCCATTTACCATAGTGACACTCTCGCCTTAGTGTTACACCAAGGAAGGAAGTGTCTAGGCTACAGACAGGGTGAGATTTTCAGGTCTGGCAGACCTCGTGGCCCAGGTCTTTGAAGATGCCAAAGAGGTTCCATATATAGTTGCTATATCTAAAAGCAAAACTAATATTAAAAAAATATCTTTACCGCTGGATTAAAGGGTGGCACACCTTTTATCCTAGCACTTCTGAGGCAGAGACAGGAAACTTCCAGGCCAGCCTGAGTGAGTTCCAGGATAGCCGGAACTACGCAGAGAACCCTGTCTCAGAAAAACCAACCAACCAACAAACCTCACAGAGCTGAGGGCACAGCTCAGTGATGGAGAACCTGCATGCCATTCACACAGGACAGCAGATAAACAGATAAACTCGGTTTCTGGTCAACATCAGCATTTTATTAAGATATCTTCCATTCAGAAGGAGTGGGAAGTGGGAAGAGAGGGTAACAAGGGTGAACATCCAAATATACTGTTTACATACATAAAATTGTCAAATAAAAACATTTCCCCGAGATGAAAGCAACATTGTTTTATTAAAACAGTTTGGGAACTGGAGAAGACTTGATTCAGATAAGTTTGTTATTCTTATCCCCACAGATTTAGCTTTTGACAACTTAATCTGTTTGCTTGTCCTTTTCATGATCTTGTGTTTTACACTGAAGTGTTTTTCTGTATGTAACCATGATCATGTATAACTGAGTACCTACATGAACACATTTTCTGTATCTTTATTTTTAGTTAATTTAAAACCACAATGGTTTTTATTCTCACAAATCTGCGATCTGAGAACCAAGCTGTGGGTTAGGTATGTGTCTTCTCTATACAGCAAGAGTTGGGATAGCCTACCTGAGGGCTGGAGGATCCATTCCCAGCGTGCACACTCTGGTGAGGCAGTGTGAGCTGTCAGCTGGAGTGCAGGAAGGCCTGTCAGGTGGAGAGTCCTCTTCATGTGGGTTTCTACATGAGGCCCCAGCTCCTCACAGCGGTGCAACTCGGTTCCCGGGGGAAGCATCACATGGGAAAAATGGTTAGTGCTTTCTGAATTAGACTTCATGCTTTGAACTTGATTTTAATGTTTACATGGTAACACCTGGTGTGATAAAGAGTCCCAAAGAATTAGCTCCTCAGAATCCATCTTTCTGGTGTGTTTTGGCACATACAGCTTGGGCTTTGAATCATGGTCAGCCATGCTTAGTCACCTATGAGAATGGCTGGGTACTGACATCAACAGGAACAGGCCTCCTGGCTCACGTGTTCTCTCTAGCCCTGACTTTTCAGTCTCCAGGTGCTGTACCTGACCTTGGCTTAGTACTTTGATTCTGTACTGACCACATCAACACATTTTCTCCTGCCCATGTTTACCTTTTCTCCAATGTGGATCTATATATTCTTGACCTCAGCGTGGCAATTCATTCAAATATGGGCTAGCTCTCATGCTTTATGGCTATACTATTTAGGACTATGAACAGCTATGAGTCATGAAAGGTTAGAAGAGCCAAGTTCCTTCTTCTAGCAGAGGTATTTCCTGAACTCTATGCATTTGCTTTGGTCGTCCAGGCTGCCATGTTGCCTGTCCAGCCTTGATATCATATGTAATTTCCCTTTACCTCATGATACAACCCTCACGCCCCATTTTCTAGATAAAAGGTAGTACCCCCTATCATGGGCTTTCTGTGAAGTTTTCCAAGTCCAATTTCAAATTTAATTTTCAAATAAGCTATATCCTAGATGAGTATTTCTCTGGGTATGATAGGGAATCACCAATCATCGTCCTGCAGAATTCTAGGTGAGTATGCTGGTTTTATCAGACTTGATGCAGGACATCAAAAGGACCAAAACAAACAAACAAAACATGCTTGGGGGTAGTGTCCGGGTATCACATGTCCAACCGAAACCATAATAAACCAGTTCTCGTGCAACCACTGACTGAATTTAGGCTTACCTGGAGGAAAGGATAGGGTGGTATCGGGAAAAATTAGCTCTCTTACCAATACGAGTTGTCATGCTTAGTAAATAAACAAAGAAGCTAGAGGAGCCATATTTAGTTCAAAGGAAGTACATGGAGGGTTCGGCCTATTCCTCAAATCAAGTCAAACATCTTCCTGATGGAGACAAGCACTAAATCTGGGAAAGGTCACAGCAGTGCATAAAACGGAGTGCTACAGCTGTGTGCAGAGGGCGGACGACGGGTGCGCCGTGCACAAGATGAGGACCGTCCGGTGCGGCCCGGGCGTGGACGTGTGCACCGAGGCCGTGGGCGCGGTGGAGACCAGTAAGTGCGCCCGGGGTCCCTGCCCCTCCCTGCTGGTGGTGACGCCAGCAGCCCTCTGTGGAAAGCTCAGCCTGAACTGTCCACTCTAGTCTACGCTTACAAGAGGGGCTGAGTGAGGTGTGTATTCTGGGACATTTCGCCTGCAGTTCCTGGGTAAGGCTTCTTCTTGGGAAGGGATCAGAGGCGGCATTTCTAACAGTGAATACTCTTAACCACAGCTCAGCACTTGTGTTCCTTTTTTGGCCTGAGTCTATGTCACTCACTAGTTACAACCTATTTAACAAAAATAATGTGGGCACATTGTTTGCCTCGATAGTGACAAAAACTTCACCTGGCTTCAGATGCATAACCTGGAACTCCGTCCCCTTCTCCAAAGTGACCAATGTGGGTGAGCAGCTGGAGGCAGTGGAAGAATCAGAAATCCCCGCTCAGCCCCTGGAGGCCTAGGCCTCTGAGAACACATAAAAGTCTATGAGGAAAGCAGGGATAAGAGGAAGGAAGGCTGATCCAAGTGCCACATTTGTGCTAGGATGTGGGAAGCCATGGTGAAGAGGGAGTGAGGCCATATGCGCATGATGGTGTGAGCAAGCTACCATGGGGCTTCCCCAGAACTAGTGACAACAGGGCTTCAGGAAGACTGCTGTTACCCTGACAGCTGGGTGAGGGCGGAAGTCTTAAGTAGACAGCTTAGTCAGAACACAGTTGCACAAAATCACAGTGTAATGATTAGACAGCAGGAGCGGACATGGTGTAAGATGTGTTCCTAGGACAACACCGCGCCAAGCTGCTCCAGGCTCGGGGGGTCTAGAAAACAAAGGTCTCTGAACACATTACTCTCATTTTGGAGATGTTGTATTTGCTGTGTATGAGGAACAGATAATGTTTGAAAATTTAACCTTACAGACTACCTAAATGGATAGAGGCCAATCTCCTACAGAAAATGAATTTTTAGGATCCTAGCTGAGAAGAATGAATTAGGAGACATTGTTTTTATAATCATTAAAAAAAATCAATATCTCACTTTCGTTTATGATTTTATTACTTACAAAATAAAAACAAGTTAGGAAAAATATTTCCTTTTACAAGATATAGAAACTACAATCTTTGGAAAATACATATCACCCCCCACCCCAAATTGTTACAATACATAGCCTTGTAGACCACTTGAACATTGTTTAAAAATCATACCCTGTAGAGGCTGGGATAAGAAACATCGTCTCCAACATCAGCCACACACTGTGACATTCAAGTACTCAAGACACAGTTGAAGTAAAACATGTGCATCTTCCACAGTCCCAGAAACTCCATTGTGTAAGTTAGTTGGTGACTCCAAAAGTGGCTGACTTTCCACAGGAGGAACTAAATGAGAGGAGGCTGCCATGGAAACACAGCTACTGCATGCAGGCCTCCACCCTGTCATCCCTGTGTGTGGAGCATGGCTCCCCACAGGATGAGTTCTAACAGGCTAAGGGCTGTACTTTCTAAAATGCTGGTAGAATGACACCCGCAAATCTAAGTTCCAGTCAGGTCAAGTGTGATCTGAGATGACTCAGCTAAGTAAATAAGTATGCCATCAGGTGGAAAATATTATTTAAAACCAGACTCAAAGTTCCTCTTTGGAACCACTGGAGAATATCCTTTCTTACCAGAATGTAAGTTCCAGGAGCCCCATTCCTTTCTTGGGATGAACTGTGAGGAGGATAGGAAAGGGTGCACAGTGCCTCCTCTGCAGCGTTAAGAGGTGGCAGCCACGATGGCCTCGCCGTGAAGGCGTCCACAGTGCCAAAGACTGTGGACATGTACTCCTAGCACCCTGACCAATCTCCCACGCTTTCCTCTCACAGGAATACTGGCCTGCTGCTGAGCCATAGTAAGAACCACACTAGTATCATGGTGCAGCTTGTCAGGCAAAGACTAGCACTTACCTGTGTGTGTGTGTGTTTAATATGCAAGAGACTGTGAAAGTCAATCAACTGTGGATTAATAGGTCTATATTTTTCATATATCACAAATATTATAATGTATCGTTCCAAAATGGAAGAAGACTGTAAGAGTAAGTTTAATAACAGACACGTACTTTAAAGGTATAAACATTTGGTTTAGTGTGTAAGGGGCTTGCAGGGTAAACCTTCTAGAACTACGGGTTTTGTAAATGAAAATGGTAGAATCTGGGAAACCTGATATTGTCCAACCTAGCATGATCCTGAGAAAACTGTATTTGGCATCATACTATGAATTCAAAGACAATTTGTAGAAAATCATTACATTTGAAGTGAAAACACCTCAGAATAGGAATGTGCACACTGGTCAGGCCAAGATTTCACTCTCATGATTTTAAGATTGGAAATCTTGGAATGTAAAAAAAAAAAAAAAGTGCAATTTTAATAAAACAGGAGGCAATTGAAAGTTCAAACTGATATCCGGAGTTGCTATTATACTGAAAGAGAGAACCGCTAACCACAGATGGCTGGCTGTTCAGAGCACATATAAAAATGCCGGCATCAAAATGAAAAGGCACAAATGCATTAAAGGTGTAATAATCATCTATAAGGTCCTTGAAAATAAGGCTGGTTCACTTATATCCCACCAGTAAGTAGGCACCTGTACCAAGTTTCAGCTTTGGCATCCTAAATGGAATTATATTGCAAACGAAGGATTAACACAGTACTAGTTATAGCAGCATTGTCTACATCGAGCTTATCTACACTGCTAGAGCACACTACCTCCCATCCATATCCTGTGTCAAAAGTAAATTTTAAAAATTGTACTCAAAAAATTTCTGGAATTCTTCAAATGAGCTCACTTCTCAATGGTAACCCAGCAAGCCAAACCAAAATGAAGGCTATCCAGAGACTGCTAGGCTAGCCTGGCCACTCTTAGTTAAAAACATACCATATTCAAAATGGTACTTCATTTATAAAACTTATTAAATATAACCAACGAATAATGTAGACTTCCCAGGCGTGTGTGTGGGTAAGATGTCTGAGCTGGGTGATGGTGCACTTGATAAAAATATAGATTTCAGCAGTGACATTTCATTTGGAACCCTGGACCCACCTACGAATGGTTGCTCCAGTAGTACTGGCCACTACACAGAGAGCCCCACCCACAGTCCACCAGGTCGGCACGTTATCAAAGAAAGCAATTTGAAAAATAAAAGCAAAGACTATATCCATTGTCTTCATTATTGCTACAAGTCCTGCTTTTTCTATCTGAACTGCTTTAGTGATAAATATCTGACCCCCCAAACCTAAGAGTCCAATGAGTATAAGAAACAGCCTGTCCAGCCCACACTGAGGGAGGTTCCATTCTCCTAAGGCAAAGAGGATGATGATGCTTTCGGGAAGGCCAAGTATGACATAATACCAAATGCTCAGAAAATAGTCCACAGACTTTCCCATTTTTCTCAGGATAACCAGAGTCAGCGCAGCTAGCACAGCATGTCCAATCGCGGCAAATGTCCCCTTAATGTGCTCTGAATAGCTTTCTTTCATCCCTGAAGTGTCGGAACCAAATAAAAATGGCGGTCTCACAATAAGGATCACTCCAACGATCGCGAACAAGGTGAAGAAAGCATCCCAAAGACTATACTTTTCCTTGAGAAATATCCAAGCAAATATTGACGTAAACACTGGACAGCTAAATGCAATAACTGTGGCATCAGCGAGGGATGTCGTCTGGAAAGCATAGTACATAAGGATCATGGCACTGGAACCAAAGATCCCTCTGAAGAGGAGGAAAAGCCGTTGACCTTTGGGACCTATGAACCCAGTTCTGCAAATTTAAATGGAGAAAAAAAAAACGCATTTTAAATGTACGTGGCATTGATTTTAAACCAAAACATTTAGTATAGACATTATTCCAAAAGTACATTACATTAAAGATAAGGGAATGGTAAACTCTCTAGCAGTGACTAGTACGAATTCCTTAAAAAGATCTCTTCTAGGTTTTAGGCAATGATGTTTCACAGTGTTCACTGCAGGAGCAAAAAGAACACAGAACATCATAAACAGCATGATAAAAAGTATATATATGTGTGTGTGTTTTCTCCGTGTATATTCTTGCAAAAAATAATAAACAAAAAGGACTAGATGTTAAGGTACTTTATATCCTAGTAGGTGGAATCAGGTAATTTTTCTTTTCAAATTTTCTATGATGAAAACAAATCATAATAAACATAATTATGGCACTACATGAGGGAACTTAATCCTGGCTAATGTACATTCAATTCCATCAATTTTTCTATAAAAGTGTAAGAATTTACTTTAGTAACTGGATACGAAGCAACTTTTCACTGGTCTTATGAGCCCTAGCTAGGTGCAACTCCCTGGCTCATGCAGAGCAGACTGCATCCAGGTCGTCACGGACACACATGGGTATCCACAGTCAGAACAAATCTGTGGCCCGCATGTATGTGGAACGGCTATAAGTCTTCCACGACAGTGAACACAACAAACAGACGAGAGCCAAAGATTTTCAAACTGACTCCTAGCTTCTGGATATTTTTATCGAAACGGGGAATATGGTTGCCAATCTTGGTATCGTTACCTCCTTTAGAAACCAGTGCTATCTCCACATTTCCCAAAGTACTCTGGCTTCCACATTTACACGGGAATTTCTGGCAATATAAATCCTTGCAGATTGTCTCTTTCTAACCAATTTCTCAGGATACAGAATGACATTATTCTAAATGAATCTTTATCATGGCAAGAGATGCAAGGAGGTTCTGGAGGCAGGCAACGGAAACTTTTAATTTTTGATTTAAGAATCTTCAACTCCAAAACAAAAAGAGCTGGGTAGCTAGTCTGGGCCCAACTAGTTTCCTCCCAGGGTTCAAAGAACATGAGGGTGTAAGTTACAAGTGTGTGTATGTGGGGGGGGGGGGTATAATTTCAGCCCTACTGAGAGATGATAGATTCCACACAGAAGAAAAGGGATCAAGTATGGAGGGAAAGGATGGGAGGGGACAGTAAAAAAAAAGGTACCTACATGTTGAAGTCTATAGAAAGTACTCTAACCAAGAATAACTTATCTAACCCTGGGAACTCGTACAGGGCACAGTGCAGAAAGCACCACTCCCTCAGTTTACAGGGGAAGAACCTGAATACCAAGGCAGCCAAAGACTTCAATCTTACTGGTATGATCTGGCAGGGGTAGGGGCAGCCTGTCGCACTTAAACCACTAGGATGCACTTAGCTTCCTTCATTTACTGTTTACCTTCAAAATACCAGTTATGCCAGAGGGAAGGACGGAGGGATTGTTTTCAAGTAGAGAGGGTGGTGGACAACTAGATATGACCCTTCTCTCCTTTAATGGATGTGTGGTATATGCTTACAGTAGAATCTTCTGTAGGCAGACCCCTAGAACATATCACTAGTCAGGGTGAAGGGGAAGAGACTAGTCAATATGTTAAACAGTTACTACAGAGAAAATGTTAAGGTAGTTCAAAAGATTTACACAGTTATGTATCTCCTCGATTCACTTTAAAAAGTACTTACTTTCTGTATATTAAGCAAGGAATAATAACTAGCATTTGGATCACACATCGAAATGCACTGATTTCTACAGCATGGATGCCTTGCACTTTTTTAACAAATAAAGAGGCCACTGAGAAAAGGAAGGCAGACAACACTGTGTAAAACAAGCCAAGTCCAGGACAAGGTGCTTTCTTCTTGGCTTCTGAAAAAGATTAAATTCTGGTTAGTCTTTGCCTCCAAGTATATATTTCATCACTTTCACTTAGAAATTAAGAGAGATGCGCTGTATCAAAGGCTAGAAGAAAGACTACAGGTAAAACCTTCAACACATACCTGTGGTCTTATACCATTTTCCCTATCCATTATGAAGAATCCATAGGTATGGGTAACAATGTAAAATTATGTTTTAAAATGTTATTTCTCCCAATTAAAAAGCAATGGATTCTTTTGGCTCACTAAGAATCATCCCTCAGTTTACTAAATAAATAAAAGAATCTTGCTAAGATGGTGAGAGAAATCTTTACAGAACACTTGTCACGGAGGTGAAAAGTGACAGAAAGTTCCATCCTCTCACTGGTAGGCTTCAGGAAGAAAGTTTATTTGCTGGAAATCAGTTGCAATTGTGCTATTGGTCATTTACTAATTACATGGCTTCTCCTGTAAGCCTATGACCTTTTCTAGGGCTGAAAGCTTAGCTTCTTCATGCCTGGAACATACACAACCTGAATAGTATCTAGTGAGGGAAAGAATTAGAACTCCATGGGAAGACATGGTCTAACACCACTGGCAAGACTGCAATCTTGAAAGGCTCCTATTACAGTTACTATTAACTAACTGTAAGTTCCTACCTTAATGTGAAGCAGGAAATTTGTGCTTTCTAAGTCTTCAAATATTTAATTCATTACTGACATCTTGTGGAGTAGTAAGGACAAGTCACACACCCCTCCTCCCTCCTAATCAACATCAAAAGGAGATGAAAAAAAACCACAACTGGTTCTTGTCAATTGAGTCTATTGGAGTCACAAAACCCGTGGATGCTGCAATTTACTTTGAACAACTTAAACAGCCACTCCACTCTCAGAATGTACAAAGTGTTCCTCCACTACGGGACAGTATTGCATAATTATGTTCTCTTTTTTAAATGCCCTTCTCTGATAAATGATACACCAGGTAATATATTTCAACATCCTCACATCACATACCTTTGGCCACAAGTGACTACAAATCATGACCAAGGTATGGCAGACTTTCTAGTGACACTGTATAGCCTGACCTTTGCGTCAGCAATAGCACTGCATCAGAATCTTTCCTATTCTGGGTCTACACCTGGAGAGACGGCTTTGGACTTGTCATTATAGGTGCCAGAACCCCCTCCCCCATGCTACTTTGTACCCCTGGGCTCCAACACTATGGGAATGAACTACAAACAGCCACGCAGGCCATGAGGAGGAAACTTGAGGAGACTTCCAAGTGAAGTACCACAAAATACATGCCTTGCCTGTGGTCAGTCTTAGAGCTGGGCTTCTGAAATTACAAAATTTTGATCCAAATAAAACAAGTTTTCTCAAAAGAAACCTCCACCCTCAGGCAGAACAGAATGAAAAGTTCTAGCACAGAAAACACCTTCCTGGTTTAATTCAAGGATCTTCTCCAACTTAAACTAACTGCTTCTTCTCTAAGAATTATAACAGTGTAACGTTTTTAACTTTAAAAATGGATTTCTTGCTTTAAAACACCTTAGAAAAAAATTTTATATGACCAGGCGAGGTGGTGTACGCCTGTAACCCCAGCACCCAAGGAGGCAGAAACAGGCAGATCTCTGTGAGTTCCAGGCTAGCCTGTTCTACATAGCAAGTCCAGGACAGCCAAGGCTAGAGAGAAACCCTGTCTCCTCACGGGGTGGGGGGACCTGATTTATTTATTTATTTATTTTGAGGCAGGGTCTCCCTATGTCGTCCTGGCTGTCCTAGAACTTACTATGTAGATCAGGCTGACCGCCAACTCAGAGATCCACCTGCCTGTCTCCAAAGACATGGGCCACCATGCCTAGCTTAAAAACCTACAAATATTTGAGGTCCATGTTTTCTGATTAGTGTCCGGCAGATAACAGAAGGTTGAACTGAACTTGATGGTTAATGAAGGCAAGGAATGTTCAGGCAACCTCAGTTTCTTATTAAATGATAATTTCCAATTCCCTCTGACAATGGTGATGAGCAAAGCAATCTAAAGGGGCATTTTCTCTTGTGAGACGCTTCCAAATTAGCATGCGCTGAAAGTTTATCTAACCACTCCATACAAGTTGAAAGTTTAAGTGGTCACCATACAACTTCCAGAGGAAAGAAAAAACCTGCTGCACTCGGTCTCTCTGCCCTGCAGTGACACCGACCTGGCTAGAAATTAAAATCACTGCAGTAACTTTTAAAAATTCAATTTCCAGGCTCGACCTCTGAACTTTTGGAAGTAAAAGCTGGTTCCAGGTCCACTGATCATTAGTGTACACTCCAACAGGAGACAGTGAGGCACAAAGCTAAGATAATATCTCTCCCTTTAGTACAAGATCTATACTGTCCTGAAGACAGCAAATATGTGTCAGGACATCTGTAAGCTGGGTAAGGCTAGCAGTTCCAACCTAAACTGAAAGATGAACTTTGTTAAAGAAACCACTAAGATCAAGAATCTCAAAGCCAGGTATGATGCTGGATGCCCTTAATCCGAGCACTTAAGGAGGCTTAGGCAGGAGGACTGAGTATTTGACAGCCTGGACTACATAGAGTCTAAAGTGAGCCAGTAAAACCCTAATGCCAACGGCATAGCGGTTTTGTGATTTGTTTTCAAAATAACTGTTAGAAATTTGCCTTGAAATTGGAAGACAATTCTTGGGCATTCACACAGGTCTGACATTTGGCCATGTGCTGAGTGAGTAAGCATACAGACCCCTTCGCTCACATACAAAATGGAAAACTAAAAAAAGAGTCTGCAAGGACCAGTTCCACATTAAGCCAGAATGTCAATGAGCCATAGGGTGATTAGGTGAGAGACTAGCCTCTTCAGGAGCTGCCAGGCTGGTCAGCCCAGCACGGGGTAACCTGTTCTGAAGGCATCTCAGGAAAATCCATGCGAACACAATCAGAAACCCGATCTCTTCGCTTTCAGCAATAATATCTCCCTAGAACTTTTCTCTATAAAGTCAGAAAAACACAACTATGGAGGAAGAAAACTGGGTGGGACAAGAGGCATGGAAGCCCCAGGGCATATTTAGGGGATGAGCCCCAGGAGCAGATTATGACAGCTGTTAACTTGATTCTAAAAGATCTGCATGGGCTTCTTTCTGGAAAGGTACTGGAAAAGGCCCTAGGCAGGATCCCTGGAAAATGCAAAGCCTTACCTAATACTGTCTGGACCTGCCCTAGCCAGATGGGAGTCCAACCCCGAACCCTCATCTTCCACGACCTCACTTTACCTCTCTGTAAGGGAAGTTTGAGTAAAAGTCAAGGGTTCTTCACCGGGGCTTCTAACAAAGCGTACCCTGTTTTAATAAAGCCTGTAGCTAAAAAAGTCCTCCTATTCCCCAAAGCCTGAGGGCCAGTGGTGCAATTAACTCTCGTCTCTGAGATGCTAAGATTCCGGAACACTTTCAGAATCTCTCTCCCACGTGGTTCGGGAAGATCGGTTTACCCTCGCGATCAGGGTCCCAGGTCGGCTTCCTTCCTCCCACCCGCCGCCTGGCCCCTCTCGGTGACCTTTCACCTCTGACTGCCACCGGACCGAGAGGTCCTGCCCCCGTCACCAATTTGGGGTGGCGAACACTCGGAAACTTTGTGGGTCCCGGCTGAGGCCACTGCGCAGGGGACCCGCTCCGCCCCGCCCGCCAGCCCCGCACTCACCGGGCTCCCCACGCGAGCCGCACGCCCAGGCTCCACACGGCCAGCACCTGCCGCGGCCGGGGACGCCCGCCGCCTCGACGTCCTCCTGCTCCTCGCCGGGGGACGCGGGGTCCGCGAGCCGCACCACGGGCTCGTGCAGCTCCACCGCCTCGGGAGCGAGCACCTCCGCGCTCTCCGGGGGCCCCATCCCGCAGCCCGCGCTCTCCCCGCAGCAGCGCGCCGTCTGGCGCCCGCAGCCGCCGCCGGGCCGCTCGGCTCTTCCGGCCCCCGGCGCCCCGGTGCGTGTGCGCGTGCGCGTGCGCCCGCTCCCGGCTCCGCGCGCCTGTCCTCCGTTGCCCTCCCGCGCCCGGGGAGCCAGCCGCCTGCTCGCCTGCGCTTGGGCTGCGGTGGCGACCGCTTGGCTCGGGCGGTCCCTCCTGTGCAGACCGCACGCTGATCCTCCTCTTTGCACAGACAGGGAGGATCGCTTGGTTTTCAGCCCTGACTCCTCGGGTCTTCGGGCCTTCTGCTGCTTTAGAAAGATTGTGTGCTGTGTGTCTGAGCTGGGCGTGTCACCACGCCCTTAATTCCAGCATTTGGAGACTGAGGCGTGTGGATCTCCAGAGTTCAAGGCCAGCCAAGGCCATAGAGAGAGATGGTGTCCCTAAATAAATAAGTGAATTAAATTAAAAAACAAAAAAACACTGGCTGTCTACTGATGTGGAGTGCCTCTGCGATGCCCTGGGGGCTTGGAAATATTATGTCAGTTTCTAAAGACACTTCGACCTGACCAAGGGAGATAGAATTTAAGTAGTAAACATAGAGAAACAAGCTTGAAAGGGAGGAGCTGGGCTCGGTGGTGCACGCCTTTAATCTCATCAGCAGAGGTAGGGCTGCTCAATGTGAGTTCAAGGCCAACCTGTTCTGCAAAGCGAGTCTAGGACACCCCAGGCTACACAGAGATACCCTGTCTCTAAAAACAAAACAAAACAAAACAAAACAAAACAAAAAGGAAGAAAGAGAGGGGGAAGAGGCTTTTAAAAATTGCAGGACAGTTGGACATGTGAGGTCAAAGACAGGTCTACAGAACGAGTTCCAAGAAACCTAGGGCAATACAGAGAAATCCTGTCTCCAAAAAAAAAAATCAAACAAAATGTCAGGGCAAAGGAGATTGTCTCAGCAAACTGAGGCAAGTAGCTGCCTCAGTTCTGTTTGAAGTTCCAGCTGGCAAAGAAAGAAGGGTCTGGGCAAGGTAAATGTTACTCTTGATTAAGAGGGTGCTCTTAGAAGATGGAACACATAGAGACAGGAAGTGGATTTGTTTTTTACTCCACAAACAGATGGAACTGTGCCTTCCCCTCCCCGCTAACCCCCACCCCTACCCTTGGCTGGGGTCAGACCTTACAGTCTTATTCTGTGGCTAGTATTTAAAAATTGGAGCTCAGGATTGAAGGAAGAAGGGGAAAGGGAACACTGAGCCTTGGTCATCCAATTCCTGGAATTCAGCACTGGGCCTTTGTGTAAACAAAGATTTTTATTGAGTGGTGGGAGGGATTGAAACACTTTTGTAAAAATCTTACAAGATTTTTGTAAGATTAAAAAGACTTTTGTAAAGACGTTTGTAAAATCAAAGACTTTGATTCCTGCTCCTAAACACATTTTATAGTATTTAATAAAAAAGATTCATGTTTAATATTTCTTACAAATCCCTCCTCTTTAGAAAAGAATACACTTCTTCAAACTCATTGAAGTGTTGGCTCTTGGTGAGTGGTGGTTTACATTTTTAATTCCAGCACTTGGGAGGCAGAGGCAAGAGTATCTCTGAGTTTAGGCCAGCCTGTCTACAGAGCAAGTTCCAGGACAGCTAGGACCAAAGCGAAACAAAAAAAAACAAAATTAACAAAAAAAGTTGTTGGCCCTTTTTCTGTCCTATTTTGGAGTAAGAAACTGCAATGGGGAGATAATATTTGTTTACCTGATTATCAACTCAGTCATACTGAGTTGTACAATTGTACTTGGTTTGTTTTAGGCCTCTGGTACAAAAAAAAATAATAATTATAGCATCTATTTCAGGTTTAAGGTGAGCGGGGTTGCAAGGGCTGGTTCCTTGGCCAGGTGATTATCATGACCCCATTGAATGTTAGGTCTGTACCCAGGCCAGAAAGAGTCTATTCTCTTGACCAGGAATATTCTATTCTCTTAACAGGCCTCCATTGAGACTTTAATATCCACACCATCCACCTCCTTAAAAGAGGCAACCCTACGATGATCTAGAACCCAGATCAAAGATGGGGAGGATCCAAACCAAAGACTGGAGCTCCCCAAACACTTGGCATCTTTGGTCTTTGGCAAGAATGGAACATTTGGCTTTTAGCTAAGAAAAGTGTTTTTTTGCCTTTAATCCCAGAACCCAAGAGGAAGAGTCAGGTAGATCTCTGTGATTTCAAGGCCAGCCTGGTCTAATTAATGAGCTCCAGGATAGCCAAGGCTATATAGAGAAACCTTGGCTTTAAAAGAGAGAGAGAGGGAGAGCGAAAACAAACTGGTTACTTTTCTGTAGAGTATTTTTTACCCTAAACTGTCTAGCCAATTTCTACCTTTTGTTTTTTTAATTATCTCTCCTCTCTGAAGAGGTAAAGTAAACCTAACTGCCATTATGAGATTGTACCATAATGAAGTAATTGACCATATGAGGTAATGGCGAATCTGGTTTCTCCCGGCTGGATCTAGGGTATTGAATTTGACATATCGGGATACCTCTCCAGAGAGCTCAACTCCAGATGTAGGAAGGAAAGGAACTCCTTGACTGATGTCTGAAAAGGGTTTTAAAATGTCCTAATCAAAATCTATTAGAATGTCTTCATGGGCTCACAAGAGCCTTTATCTACTGGGCTCTTAATTTTTCTTTGGCCTCTAAGGTTGGTCTCCATAATGATGAACCCTCAATCTGTTTTCATACCCCTTGATAGTTATTGCATCAGCTAAACATGATGGCTTTCTCATGTGTCTTCTAAGAGGAGAAGAAATTCAGCCATTTAATTTTTAGTTTAAAAAAACAAAACAAAACAGTAATCCAGGCTGGGTGTGGTGGTACATGCCTTTAATTCCAGCCCTTGGAAGGCAGAGATGGGTGGATCTCTATGAGTTCAAATCTAGACTAGTCTACAAAGTGAGTACAGAATAGCCAGGGCTACACAGAGAAATGGTGTCTCAGAATGAAAGAGAGAGAGAGAGAGAAAGAAAGAAAGAAAGAAAGAAAGAAAGAAAGAAAGAAAGAAAGAGAGAGAGAAAGAGAGAAAGAAAGAAAAGATAAGATAAGATAGATAGTAAACTTGTCTTCCTTGGCTGTAATTATGTAGAGAGATCCTGTCTCAAAAAACAAACCGCAGTAAAGGCCCTGGCTAAAACCCACAATCAGTGTAGATGCATATGCAAATGGAGGCAGAAGACCTGAAAAGTGTGGTAAATGCCTTCCTTCCTATATAGAAATTAAACTATAGACAACGTAATATTCTGTTATTTTTCTATAGAGGACTCATTTTATCCTCTATTCAAGCCAGATCTGTGTACAGAAAAATAGCAGACATTTCTTTCTTAAGGCCAGTGGGTAGCCTTAAGGAGTCCAGTGGGTAAGGATACTGCTTCAAGGGGAAGTTTTCTCTGTCAGGTGCCTCTCCTGTGAAACAGAGAATGTTGGAATTTCTTCCAGATCTTCTCTGTCTTCCTCTTCAGAGCATCCTCTGAGGAGTTTCTAACTTTATTTTATTAGTTTTTCAAGATGGAATTTCTTTGTGTAGTCCTAGTTGTCCTGGAGCTAGCTCTGTAGACCAGACTGGCCTTGAACTCACAGAATCTGCCTTTAATACCTAAAGAGTTCTGGAATTAAAGGTGTGTGCCACCTTCACTCCACCCCCACAGTTTCTAACTTCTATTCCTTTTCTCACAAATAACCATGAGGAGTAAATTAACAGATAAGCCCCTGTACTAATATGGATCTGGATGCCTATATCCTCCACTTTTTCATTAGTGACCATGAAGAAGACAGACTCTATTAGAGTTATCCATTCCTCCACTCTTTAATACCCTGTGACCTTAATGATTCACATCCAGCAAAACTCTTGAAGAGATAAAGAGAGAGAAAATGCACATGTCAAAGAAACCATTCAACTTTTTTGTTTCTTTTTGTTATTTTTCTCTTTGATTGGTTAGTTTTTCAAGACATGATCTCTCTGTGTAGCCCTGGCTGTCCTAGAACTCACTTTGTAGATCAGGCTGGCCTTGAACTCAGAGATACACTTGCCTCTGCCTCTGCCTCTACCTCCCAAATGCTGATTTTAAAATCATGAATACAATACCCATAAACTCTTAATGACTATATAAGTAAGGGATGGATTTCCTTGTAGGTAAACTTCTAATATTCCCTTTAAACATCCCCTTTGGTCCTTTTCTTCTCATATATAGTCTGTCATCATTATTACATATCTCCATCTGTTATTGGAATACAGCAATGAGGCTTTGTATAAACCAAAAATTTTACTGAGTTAGGAAATTAAAACATTTGCATAGAGGTCTTATAAGGTGGGGGGTGATAAAAAGATTTGAATTCCTTATCCTAAACATATGTTTTATAGTGTTTGATGGAAAAGAGCCATATTTGATATTTCTTATAGTTCTAACTCAATGAATACATACTTTTGTCCCATATGACAAAGGGAAAATACATCTATGAGACAGAGCAGAACTTAATTATATACTCTTCCAAATGCAGTATCTTCTCTCTCCCTCCCCCTTCCACTCTCTCCTCCTTCCCCACTCTCTTTCTCTCTCACTCTTCTCTCCCTACCTCCTTCCCACTCCATCCTTAATTTGGCTAGATGTAAGATTCAAATAACCTGACACAAGCCAGTAAAGCTAAAGGTTTATATCATTTGCTTTCTAGATTTGCTAACGCCCTTCTCATGCTTCTCTTCTTTTCCCATCTCTTTGCTTGGTTTAAATGCTTGCCTAGACTCTGGGCAAGGATAAACGTGCCCTAAACTGTTCTAGGTCCAGGAACCAACCAGATTACCAAACGAGGGCATGAAGTTAGACTTTCTTCAGACATTGGCACATACCAGCTCATAGCAGAAACAATTTGGACTTGAAGTCAACAAGAATCCTCCTTCTGGCGTGACTTCACAGCCTTGAAACCATGATGACCTCCTTCACTGAGTAGAGATGAAATGTGTCTCTGCCTGCTTTTCAGAGCTGTTAGCAAATGAGATGCAATAACCAGAGCTCTCAGCAGAGCATGGAAACTTCCCTGGGAGATTATGATGTATTTTACCTGGACTGAACAGAGAATTCATCCTCCAAACTGGAACTTTCTTTATATTTGAGAATTAGGTTAGGCCAGGAAACTCTTAAAAATTGCAAGGCAAGTGGGGTTAACTGGGACTGTCCTAAGTAAACTGCCTCAATTCTCACTTGACGAATACATAGCTTTGCGTTGTCTGAAAAATAACTTAAGACTGCTTACAAAAATACACACAGCTAAGATGGTGGCTCTGGGACTGGGAATCAT